CATCATAATTACTGCTGCACTGGATGGCAAACAAAAGCTGATCAGAGTAGAACCACAACATGAAAAGTGACATCTAGGCCCCTTCCTACCATCCCTTTTCCTCAGAATTATGAAACCAGAAAAGGCAGGCAGATGTGTGATAGAAAATAGGTTGCTCCCAGGTAGCATTTTCATCTGGAGGCAGATGAAATACATCAGAAGAACCTCAGGTGAATTTTTCAGCTGTGAATTAATTCTTGGGTTAATAAATCAACATGTACCAAAACTAAGTTGTGACTCTCACAGGCAAATTTGTGAGAATCAATTACTTTAGCAAGGAAGTTTACTTTTGGAATAGGCAGGTAAACAAGGCATAGCATGGTTTAATTCTTCACCTTGCTAAGTTAGGGGATAAGAAATCCATCTCAGCATGGGAAAGCAAAGTCAGTTCAGGCTCTGTAACACAGAATGTCTATGCTGAACACAATTTATATGTTGGAACCCACCCTGCATAATGTCACAAGTATCAGATCCATTTTCTTCAGCTTCTAGACAGGCCTCCTGAAATGAAGATAATGCAACAACCAAACCATGAGTTTGCAATCAGAGGACAAAAGAACCCTCAGTGTATCACTAACTTAATCCTCTTTCATTTCTACAACCTCTAGAAAGTCAGAAAGAGAAATGCCGTATCAAAGAACATGGTTATTCACTTAGAGTGGAGGAAAAAGAAAACCTAGCACACAACCACAAGATAATTTTTAAAGAAACAAAAGATTTAAAAAAAAATTAAAAAAACAAATTACTTAATCTATATGCTGATTCTTTCCACTACATATTGTGCTAAAGGTGCTAATATTGAGCCTTTTGCTTCCTAGCTGCCATGAGGTAAGCAGTCTCCTCCACCTCTGTTCCCTACCCATGATGCAAATGCCTCACCACAAGCCCCAAAGCAACATGGACTGAATCCTTTGAAACCATGAGCCAAAATAAATCTTTCTTCAAGTTGTCTATGTCAGGTGTTTTGTTGTAGCCACAGAAAGATAACCAACACAAAGTGGGGATAGGAGGGAAGTGACAGTATTTACACAGAAATAATTAAGTACAGTCTTGGTTGGTACCAGTGGGAGGGGAGGATACAAGGAAAGGGTGAAAGAGGGTAACTATGGTGGGAATATTATGTACTTCTGTACGAAAATGGAAAAACAAGACCTGCTGCAATGAGTCTAAGAAAGAGGGGATAAAGGAGAATGATAAGGAGGTGAATTTAACTATGATATATTGTAAGCACTTTTGTAAATGTCACAATCTACCCCCAGTACAATAATATAATAAAAATACAATTTTTTAAAAAAATACAATGTAAATGTCAGCTCCAAGGTCACACAGTCAGTCACAAGCATAACCAAGAATAGAAGTGAAGTGGGCTGACTCCTAAGCCCCTACTCCTTCTGAACATGCTTCCTGTCTGATCATAGGATCAGCATGGGTCACTTCAAACTGATCTCAGCAGGAGCTTTTTACCTAAATAACAGTCATCCTTGAAGATGAAAAATCCTACAGAAGTTTTAAGTATGGCTGATACTATTAAAAAACCATTTCTCTACTAGTTTAAAAAGAAAAATCACAGAAAACCTTAGTAGCCAATTGAAATTTAATTCTGATCTTTCTCCTCCTCCTCTGAACACAAGAGTTTCAGGGTCTTTCCCTCTCTGATTCCTCACCCCACACAACTGCATTCACACCAGCAGATCACACTGCCACCCCCTCTCCTCAGTATACATCACTTCTCAGCAGGCTCTGGCAGGAGTAGAGAAGCAGCCAATCTGTGACGGAGCAAACACGATCTCCCATAATAGCACAGAGAATACAGAAAATTGCTGCCAAAAGTGTAAATTGCTTTTTTGCTTGGAAAAAAATCACTCTGCGCTTTGAAGACACCCTCTTATGACATGACTCCACAGCAGTTAATATCCATGTTCTACATATTAAGACTTTTGCTCCTCCATGCCCTCTGAGAACCCTTGCCAGCTATATGACTGTTTCACAAAGGTAGTGATTCTGGGGTGGGGGAAGGTTTCAAAGGAAGGCTTGCTTGGATGCTCTCCAGAGAGCACCCCTTTTGCTGCTGGTGTTGGAGGATACTGTGTAAGGATGAAACAAAGAAATTATCTCCATGTAATGATAAAAGCTAAGGAGAAGACAAGTAGCTTACAGAAAACAGGCTATAGCCATTCAATGTCAACTGGAGCAAGAACAGCCAGGTTAGAGGAACCAGACTAAAATGAACCTCTGAGGACGATGTGTGAATTCTCTTGGCTTCCATAAGGAATCACAGAGGAAAGTGTGCTGCATCTTGGAAACAATGCAAATAGTGGTTACATGAGCCATGAAACCAGACCAGATTCAAGTCCTGCCACTTACTAGCCTTGTGATCTAGGGTGACTTAATGTGTCTAAGTGTTTATTTCCTCATTTGGCAAGTGGGATACACAAAAAACTTCGCATGAGGATTAAAAGAGAAGATGTATAAAATGCTTTGCACACAATAAATCTTCAATAAATGGCAACTATGATTATTATTGTTATTAATATTAATTAGCAGGACAATTATACAATAAAACTCAGGGCACGGAATCTGGCTATGTCCTAACAAAGTTCAGGAGATCAACGCTGAAAAGAGGAGAGAAGGTAAGGAGACTTCAGCTGGTAGAAAGGAAGATCCATTACAGACAAATGTTTCCATACAACTTTTCTTTGTTCCTTCCACATGGAGACTGGTTGGAATCTATTTCTCTCTTGATTTCAGTGTAGACAGTGGGAAAGTAGCTTCATGGAAAGAATACTAACAAAGAAGGCAAAGGCATAATAACCCAAGTAGAACTGGAAACTTAAGAGTTTCCAGATCCATTTCTTGTCCATCCTTTGCATAGAGCAACCTGCACTTCCTTCCTGCCTACCTTACAGATCAGGCCCTCATTTAATTTGTTAGCAGTACAGAACAAATTTTGGGAAAAAAATTCTATTTGGCTTGTTTGAAATGGTAAAGTGTATATCATAAATGAGAGAAATTTCAAATCAAAGACAATCTGCCCTGAAGTGTTAATTGGAATAAATTGGGCCAAATTATAGTTGAACACAAATAAACTGAATGGAACCAACGAGTGTGAACTTAAAGGTTAAAAAGAAAATTTTATTCCTCTTTCCTCTTTCTGCCAAATTGGAACGTGTGCTTCAAGTGCTCACTATACCAAAAAAGGATTCTGTCAAGTCCCAGTACAAGAGAATCCTACTGATGTCCATAGCAGCCTGGCTTGAGAGAGACAGCTTGACATCTTAGTTGCTAGTAAAGAAACTCTATGCCTCACCACTGCCTTGTCAAAATGACATGAAGGCATTCACAATTAAACTCTAAAGCTAGTATCTCACACTGAATAGTATCTTTGAGGGGGGTTAATCTCTTCATAAGGTCCTTGTATTCTTGTAATCAACATGACTCTGGCATGTGGCCTAAAGACAAAATGAGTGTTCAGTCTAATCAGGCTCTCCCAAGACAGAAATGTCACTGGTATCCTGTGGAGCCTGCACATTATTTCTGCCAAGGTATTTTCTCTATCATGGTTTTATCTGAACTCTCCTTCTGGAAAAGAAGGTCTAGAACTGTGCCTAGCCTACATTTTAAGGGGCCAGAGCTCATCTTGAGACTAGAAGACATGAAGTTGCCAAGGAGAATTTGATGTGTAAATCAAATACTGTGCAAAATGATGAAAACCCAGTTGATAATTAAAGAAGATACTGACTTAGGTTCCCATCATTGCTAGCCTAGTGCTATGGTTGGGATATGAATTGTCCCCCAAAGGTTCATGTGCTTGACACTTGGTCTCCAGGATGGCAATACTGAGAAGTGGTGGGACCTTTAAGAGTTAGGGCCTGCAGAAAGTGATCAAATCATGGGGGCAAAACTCTTGGAAGGGATTAATGCAGGTCTTATGGAGCTGATTAGTTCCAGGAAGAAGGACACCTCCCCTGAATCTCTCATGCACATGTTCTACCATGAGGCCCTCTTCACTGTCAATCAGATACTGGTGCCATATACCTGATCCTCCACAGAAGGATAAATTTCTTTATAAAGTACCTGGCCTCAGGTACTTTGTTAGAGAATAGAAAACAAACTAAGACACCTAATCTAACTAGTTTCCCAGGCTTCTAATCTGTCTCCAATTAATTTTCTATTCTGTAGGCAGCAGAGATTTCTAAACTGCAAACCTACTCAGATTAATTCTTTCTTTAGGAAATTTTAATGGCTTCTGACTAACTTCAAGATAGAGCTCAAATACCTTAAGAAGGCCTATAAGGCTCTAATAATCTAGGCTCTACTTTCTTTCCTCTACGCTTGTCTGTATCTTTTATACCAGTCTGATGCTTGCTCCTGCTTTGAGTGCTTTCTCATCATTCAGACCACTTTTTATATATAACTTTTCTGCTGAGCCTCATCTAATCCACCAAGACTGACTCAGGAACCCTTCCTCAAGCAGCCTGGACTCCCTCAAGCAGCCTGGACTCCCTCATCACAGTACTTTCCACACAGTCTTAAGTGCTCATTATATGCTCCCTCTCACTCTGGACTCAGAATTCACAAATATAGGACTGTGTCTGCCTTAATCACCATTTATATATTCAGTATGTGGCAACAATGCCTGACACAATAGGGTCACAAATGTATTTTAAATGGATAAAAGGAAGGAAAGGAGGGAGAGAGGAGGAAACCACAAAATGGAAGAAACCTGTTCCTGAGCATGAATGGAAGACAGAATTTGAGGAGATTCCCTGAAACTCTGCAGGTTTGAAGCAGGGTGCCTGTGACTTTAGCCACAGCAGACAAGGAAATGGGTAGTTTCTTACATTTCTAAGGGGAAGGTTGAGAACCAAAGTTCTTAATGAAAGAAGTACCAGGAGATGCGGATGTAGAATAACGTGTGGCACTTCTTAAGAAAGGAGGGTTCAGGATGTAGGGAGGAAAAGGAACTACATTTGTTGATTTGAAATAAAACCAAAGAGTCAGATCCTGGCTCCAGTAAGGCAACCTTGGACAATTAATTCATTTAGCTTTTCACAAGGGACTTGAACTAGATTATTGAGCAGAAGCTCCTCAGAATCTATTGGGATGAAGAAAAAAGATTCACCAATGTATGTGGCCCTAAATCTAACTACAAAAAAAAATAGTTTTTACACACTGAAGTTCTATTTAACATTCATTTGAAAACAAATGGAAGTACTTCTGCTAAAAATAAAGTTTGAGTAACAGGGGCCTTCTGAAACTTCCCTAGTCTTTAGTTCTTAAGCCTATGTGACAGACAGGACCTGTCCGGCTATTCCATTTTATTGGTACAAATATCCATTGACTGTGTTGATGGCACAGCTGCAGCACTTACTTCAATCTGTTCTTACTGCTTGAGCAGAATGACAGAAAAAGTAAGTAAACCAAAGTCCAGGTTCACAGAAAGACAGAGGCAATAATGAAATGTACTTTGCATTTCAAAGAAACCCAAAAGCATTTTTCCCCCTAAACAAAGTTTTATATACCTATGACCTAGGATTCATTATATAGGTGTCTTGGGTAAGCTGCAAGATGTTATAGGTCAGAAATAAAGATCACTAGACCAGAGCACATTAAAAAATATTCAATTTCAAGCTGGGAGCAATATCTCTCTTCTGTAATCCCAGCTACTAGGGAGGTAGACATCAGGAGGACTGAGGTTCAAGGCCAGCTCAGTCAAGAAGTTAGTGATACTCTCATCTCACAAAACAAGCCAAGTGGTGGTATCTGCCTGCCATCCCAGCTACAAGGGAGACCAGCTGCAGGCAAAAAACAAGTCCCTATCTAAAAAATAACCTAAAGCAAAAAGGGCTGGAGGTGTGGTTCATGTGGTGAAGCACTTGAAGCACAAAGCCCTGAATTCAAACTCCAGTAATGCCAAGAGAAAAAAAAAAGCAGTCACTGTCATTACATCCTGTACACATCTACCTTTATCTGAAGGTTACAGGCAGGAAGTGACACAGATGGGGAAGGAGATGGGAGTCTTACAAAATAAGATCTTTAAAGCCCTGGCTTAAGATGAAGATCCCTTTTCTGTGCTATTCCTTGGCTGTCCCTATTTCATGGGGCATTAAAAGGCCACAAATGTCACTTTACCTCAATTCTGAGAACAGATAGCAGCAATAGTTTAATCTTACCTGGGTCCTTCCTCGTCACCCTGAAAGACAACAGAAAGAAACAGCATTAGAAATCATCACTGGTAGAAACCAATTTAAATTTCTTTCTTTTCCCTCTCTACTCCCAACCTTAAAGCAAAGAGTATGCATTTATTGTAACAAAGATGTGTAAGGGCCAAAACAAGGGCTAATATAATCCTATGTTCGAACTGTCACAGAGATGGTCTGATAATTTGCCCTTGCAAGCAGAGAAGTGAATGCACAGACCTAGGAAGCCTTGCCTTCTTATTTGTATGGCTGGAAGTATTTAGTTCTGAGAAAACTGAGTGCCCCAAAATAGCAGCAGGTCTTAGGCAAAAAATAACCAGCTTCAAAAGCATCAAGCTGTGTCCTTCAAAAACTCATTTCTGCCTTAGTCTGGCATTTTTTTCCCTTCAAACATGAATTCTGTAACTCTAATACATAGCATATTAAGATGGAAAGGGTACTGAACTGGACATAGAATATTATGATTCCAGTCCAAGCTCTGAAACTTATTAACTGTCTGCCTGTGGGGAAGCTACTTAATTAATCTAGACCTTGGTCTTCTCCTTTGTAAGAGGGTAGTTCTGAAATTTCATTATACATATCATTCTTCAGCAAAACAATGGCTTTTCTCTTTTTCTTGTCCACTCTGCAAAAATAATGTGTGAGTATGGCTTTTCCAGGTATTACATTCTCTGAATCTAGCTTTATTGGTAATGATCACAGCAGGTTCCTCTCAGCCTCCTCCTGAAAGCAAATGGAAATGACTGAAGACTTTCCAAGGGATTCCACTTTTCCTTTTGGTGACAGAGTATCTTTCACATCTCCTTTTTAGTCATTCAGGGCTGGTCTCAATACGGAATGTACCTTCTGATTGTGCTCCCCAGAGAATCAATGAATGAATGAATGAATGAGTGAATGAGTGAATGGATGAATAGATTCCAATTGGGAAAAAGGACAACGAGCTGGAGTCAAACACTTCTGTGTTCAAATCTTGACTTCAGAGGCCGGGTGTGGTGGAACACATCTATAATCCCAGCTACTTGGGAGGCAGAGATCAGGAGGATGGAAGTGTGAGCCAGCCCAGTCAAAAAGTTAGTAAGACCCTATTTAAAAAACAAGCTGATTCAAAATAGATGGAGCAATAAAAGTCTTCCATGATAAGCAGAAACTAAAACAATATGTGACCACAAAGCCACCATTACAAAAGATTCTGCAAGGGATCCTACACACAGAAAGTGACACCCAACTTAACCATGAAAAGGCAGGCAGCACCAAACCACAGGAAAAGAAAAAGCAAGATAGTAGAGAGTAACATCAAGTTAGGTACAATCAAACCTTCAAACAACTAAGACAACTAAATGGCAGGAATCACCACATACCTATCAGTACTAACACTTAATGTTAATGGACTTAATTCACCCATCAAAAGACACCGTTTGACAAAATGGATTAAAAAAGAAGATCCAACAATTTGTTGCTTACAGGAGACTCATCTCACCGACAGAAATAAGCATATGCTTAGGATGAAAGGCTGGAAGAAGATTTACCAAGCCAATGGCCCCCGAAAACAAGCAGGAGTAGCAATACTTATCTCTGACAAAGTAGACTTCAAACCTACATTGATCAAACGAGATAAAGAAGGACATTCCATACTAATAAAAGGGGAAATAGACCAAAAGGAAATAATAATCATCAATCTGTACGCACCCAATGTCAACACACCCAATTTCATCAAACATACCCTGAAGACCTAAAAGCATATATAAACGCCAACACAGTGGTTGTGGGAGACTTTAACACTCCATTATCATCAATAGATAGGTCATCCAAACAAAAACTCAATAAAGAAATCCAAGATCTAAAATATGCAATAGATCAAGTGGACCTAGTAGATGTCTACAGAACATTTCATCCAACCTCTACACAATATACATTCTTCTCAGCAGCCCATGGAACCTTCTCCAAAATAGATCATATCCTAGGGCACAAAGCAAGCCTCAGCAAATATAAAAAAAGAAATAATACCGTGCATACTATCTGACCACAATGCAGTAAAAGTAGAACTCAACAACAAAAGTAAAGACAAAAAACATGCAAACAGCTGGAAACTAAATAACTCATTACTTAATGAAGATGGATCATCGATGAAATAAAAGAGGAAATTAAAAAGTTCCTGGAAGTCAATGAAAATGAAAACACAACTACCGAACCTATGGGACACAGCTAAGGCAGTCTGAGAGGAAAGTTTATAGCCATGAGTGCATATATTAAAAAGATTGAAAGATCCCAAATCAATGACCTAATGATACATCTCAAACTCCTAGAAAACAAGAACAAGCAAATCCCAAAACAAATAGAAGGAGAGAAATAATAAAAATAAGAGCTGAAATCAACGAAATAGAAACCAAAAAAACCATACAAAGAATTAATGAAACAAAAAGTTGGTTCTTTGAAAAAATAAACAAGATCGATAGACCCTGGCAAACCTGACTAAAATGAGGAGAGAAAAAACCCAAATTAGTAGAATCAGGAATGCAAAAGGGGAGATAACAACAAACACCATGGAAGTCCAGGAAATCATCAGAGACTACTTTGAGAACCTATATTCAAATAAATTTGAAAATCTTAAAGAAATGGACAGATTTCTAGATACATATGATCATCCAAAACTGAACCAAGAGGAAATTAATCACCTGAATAGACTATAACACAAAATGAAATTGAAGCAGCAATCAAGAGTCTCCCCAAAAAGAAAAGTCCAGGACCTGATGGATTCTCTGCTGAATTCTATCAGACCTTTAAAGAAGAACTGATACCAACCCTCCTTAAACTGTTCCATGAAATAGAAAGGGAAGGAAAACTGCCAAAACATTTTATGAAGCCAGTATTACACTTATCCCAAAACCAGGCAAAGACACCTCCAAAAAGGAGAACTATAGGCCAATCTCCTTAATGAACATTGATGCAAAAATCCTCAACAAAATAATGGCAAACCGAATTCAGCAACACATCAAAAAGATTATTCACCACGACCAAGTAGGCTTCATCCCAGGGATGCAGGGGTGGTTCAACATACGAAAATCAATAAACGTAATAAACCACATTAACAGAAGCAAAGACAAAAACCACTTGATCATCTCAATAGATGCAGAAAAAGCCTTTGATAAGATCCAACATCATTTCATGATAAAAGCTCTAAGAAAACTAGGAATAGAAGGAAAGTTCCTCAACATTATAAAAGCTATATATGACAAACCTACAGCCAGCATTATACTTAACGGAGAAAAACTGAAACCATTCCCTCTAAAATCAGGAACCAGACAAGGATGCCCACTATCTCCACTCCTATTCAACATAGTACTGGAATTCCTAGCCAGAGCAATTAGGCAAGAAGAAGGAATAAAAGGAATACAAATAGGTAAAGAAACTGTCAAAATATCCCTATTTGCAGACGACATGATCCTATACCTTAAAGACCCAAAAAACTCTACTCAGAAGCTTCTAGACATCATCAATAGCTATAGCAAGGTAGCAGGATATAAAATCAACATAGAAAAATCATTAGCATTTCTATACACTAACAATGAGCAAACTGAAAAAGAATGTATGAAAACAATTCCATTTACAATAGCCTCAAAAAAAATCAAATACCTAGGTGTAAACCTAACAAAAGATGTGAAAGACCTCTACAAGGAAAACTATACACTTCTGAAGAAAGAGATTGAGGAAGACTATAGAAAGTGGAGAGATCTCCCATGCTCATGGATTGGTAGAATCAACATAGTAAAAATGTCGATACTCCCAAAGTAATCTACATGTTTAATGCAATTCCCATCAAAATTCCAATGACATTCATTAAAGAGATTGAAAAATCTACTGTGAAATTTATATGGAAACACAAGAGGCCACGAATAGCCAAGGCAATACTCAGTCAAAAGAACAATGCAGGAGGTATCACAATACCTGACTTCAAACTATATTACAAAGCAATAACAATAAAAACAGCATGGTACTGGCACAAAAACAGACATGAAGACCAGTGGAACAGAATAGAGGACCCAGATATGAAGCCACACAACTATAACAACTTATCTTTGACAAAGGAGCTAAAAATATACGATGGAGAAATAGCAGCCTCTTCAACAAAAACTGCTGGGAAAACTGGTTAGCAGTCTGCAAAAAACTGAAACTAGATCCATGTATATCACCCTATACCAAGATTAACTCAAAATGGATCAAGGATCTTAATATCAGACCCAAACTCTTAAGTTGATACAGAAAGAGTAGGAAATACTCTGGAGTTAGTAGGTATAGGTAAGAACTTTCTCAATGAAACCCCAGCAGCACAGCAACTAAGAGATAGCATAGATAAATGGGACCTCATAAAACTAAAAAGCTTCTGTTCATCAAAAGAAATGGTCTCTAAACTGAAGAGAACACCCACAGAGTGGGAGAAAATATTTGCCAATATACATCAGACAAAGGACTGATAACCAGAATATACAGGGAACTTAAAAAACTAAATTCTCCCAAAACTAATGAACCAATAAAGAAATGGGCAAGTGAACTAAACAGAACTTTCTCAAAAGAAGAAATTCAAATGGCCAAAAACACATGAAAAAATGCTCACCATCTCTAGCAATAAAGGAAATGCAAATTAAAACCACACTAAGATTCCACCTCACCCCTGTTAGAATAGCCATCATCAGCAACACCACCAACAACAGGTGTTGGCGAGGATGCGGGGAAAAAGGAACCCTCTTACACTGTTGGTGGGAATGTAGACTAGTACAACCACTCTGGAAAAAAATTTGGAGGCTACTTAAAAAGCTGGACATCGATCTACCATTTGATCCAGCAATACCACTCTTGGGGATATACCCAAAAGACTGTTACTCCAGAGGCACCTGCACATCCATGTTTATTGCGGCACTATTCACAATAGCCAAGTTATGGAAACAGCCAAGATGCCCCAGCACTGACGAATGGATTAAGAAAATGTGGTATCTATACA